ACCAGAGGATTGCACAATAATGGCATTTTTAAATCCCTCCAGGAAGTTTATGTTTCAGTCCTTTAGAAGAGCAAAGTACAGCTGTTCAAAAGGCGAGTTTACTGAGGGACCCCAGCCCTGACTCAGCTGTGTGCTGGGTTTTTCTAGGCCATACATATTGTCCCAGCACCACCGTCCCCAGCCCTCGGGGCAGATAGATCACTGTGTCTGGATCCGACCCTGCCTAAGCCTAAGCCTTCCCCTAGCAGAGACCTCAGGCCTCAAATAGCATCGAGGTATTCGCATAGGAGAATCAGAACAAGGACAAAAATGAAAAGAAACCATCTGCTGGATCTCAGCAAGGTAGAGTGATTTCTGCATAGTGTGCAAACCAGACCAGACTTGCTATGTTGAAATCATTCCCAGAAGCAGCCCTTTCCTTGGATAGTCAGGGATATGATGTGCATCATCTCACAAATTACACATAAAAGTTTGGGTGCAGATTTATGGTACAAAACGAAAACTGCTTCTCAGCCCAGCGAGGTGATGGGAAAAGTGTAAATATTCCCATGTGGTGCCCATTCGAAGCCTTTACGTCCTGCCACTGGCTTAATCATTGGCACAGTTTCCTAAGGCCTGGGATGATTTGATAGCATACGGTTCAGAACTCTGTCTGGAGGCTTACTAAATCTTTCTGACTGACCAAGTGACCCTTTGTCTCTTCGCTTTCTTCTGTTGGAGCCTCGAGGGTGACATCCTGAGCTTTCAGCATCAACCCCTCACCAGTGATGTCACCAGTCTCTCCCTGCCACCCATCCCTGTGCGTTCCGAGTGCCCTTGCCCTTACCCTGTGTACCCTGCAATACATCTTCATTCTGTTATCCTTTGGTCTCGCTTCTCTGCGTCCACTGTGTCCAGACATGGTGGTGTAAGCAGGAGGCCAGCTAAAGGCTGAAGGGAAAGCAAGCAGTGAGGTCTGTGATGAAGAACAAGGATGTGAGGACCAGATAGACCTGGGGCCTCAGGATATGCACTTCTGCTTTCCCCCAGCCCGGCTACCCGAGCCAGTTAGGCTGTCCGAGTCTGGAGATCCCCTCTCTCCAAATCTCAGTACGAACCCAGGTCATCATTCCTCTGACTGAGTCTCACTTCCTGGGACTACTTTTGGCTTGGTCAAACGGCCTTGAGTTTTCTGACAAACTATTTTTCACTGAAGTATTAGTGACTAACTGCATTCTTCCTCTACTCCTTGTAGAATATTTGCATTTTGTCACAGAACTTTTAGAGACTCTATATCATAATTCACAGCCATATATCTGATGGAGAAACTTTAGTCCCGCCAAGGATATACTTCAACGTCAAGGTTGAACTTTGCAAATGGTTGATTGTATTGGGCCAGTAGTTTGATATCTACTGCAGCTATGCATCTGATGGTTCTTGGTGATATAACTTCGATTAGAAAGTTCTGTGAGGCAGGAAAGACTGTCTCAGAATCTCTTGGTAAAGTGTCATACCTGATGGAGTCCTAATGCAATCCCTTTCATCCATGGGGTTGTCTTCCACAACATCACTTAGGGAGGACTTCTGCCTCCCCATCTTAAGACATCCATCCAGCCCCATACATATACCTAAGAAACAATTCTTATTCCCTCTGTACCTGTTATTTCCTAGGTTTGGGCAGGAAAGTGTTCTACGAGGTAGCACTGTTTATAAAGGATGCATTTACTGCACAACACAGGCTCTGCAGTGCCAATGCCTGCTTTGGTTCCTGGGTTTATTCCTTTTTTTTTTTTTTTAAGAGAGAATGAGGACAGGAATGGCAGGGCAGGGGGAGAGGGAGAGAGAGAGAATCTCAAGCAGACTCGCTACCAAGCACGGAGCCTGACATGGGGCACGGTGGTTGATGAGGGTTTGATCCCAGAACCCTGAGATCACGACCTAAGCCAAAACCAAGAGTTGGACATTTACCCGACTCTACCACACAGGTGCCCCCGGCCTATTGCTTATTTGTTTGTATGACCTTGAAGTCTCAGTCTCCAAACCTTTATTTTCGCTTGTGTAAATTGGGGAGGGGGAGGTGGTTGGGTAGAAATAATATCAACCTCACAGAGGTGTTGTGAGAATTCTTCATCAGTGTGAGAATTAAGTGAGACTATCCATGCAAAGAACTTATCACGATGCCTGGTATGCAAACCTTCAATGAATGATCGTGTTGTTATTATCACTGCTATTATTATTGCTGCCACCACTAGTTACAGCCTCTCTAGTCCTGATGGCTTAGAGATGACACTGGTGCTGCTTCCCAAACTATGCACGGCACTGCCCAGGGAGTGGCCTGAGCCATGGGAGAAGCTGGCAGAACAAGTTCTTTCAAAGCAGTGGAAAGTAGATCAAAGGCAATAACCCAAACCTAGAAAAAGAATGTATTCCTTTGTTTGTGTGAAAAAACTTTCAAAATGTAACATGCTGAAAGGAAGACATATGGCCGCTCACGAGGTAACATGGTTGAGCCCCTCAGGTCTGCTCTTCCTGAGCCCAGACAGGGCTGCAGTGGGTTTCATGAATGTGGTGAAGGCTGACGGTGGTCTGTGATGATGTTGCCTCCATCAGTGAGTAATGAGCTTAGCAGTCAGCAAACACGCAGAGACAACAGAGATGGTGGCGCAAGGAGCTCCACACCCAGGGCAAAGTGTACCTGTGCCTTGCTGCAAATTGCTCATCACTTAGTGTGAAATTTCATGGCACTTGGCTAAGTCTCTTGGCTGAAAATAACAGAAGCCCAACTCATATTAGCTCAAGCAGAGAGGGGCATTTCTTCTCAGATTCCACAGTGTATTGGGGAGAACCAGGCAAGAGACAGACTGATCTGGGATTGAAACCCAGCTCTCAAATTTTGCCAAAACTTATGTCTCCCCTCTCTGTGTTAGTCTTCTCTCTTTCTGCAGACTCACTTCCTCTGAGGCTTTGGTTGACACATTGGAACAACAGCTCACAACATTTGTTAATGACTATGCAGCCATCCCAAGAAAGCCTGGTCTCACTTTCTCCAATTCAGAATTCCCATGGCAGGAACTAATTGGACCAGTTTAGGCCATATTCCTTTCCCTGATTACCAGTCAGCAATGGGAAAAGGTAAAAACTTGTTAGAATAGCTTGGGACATCCACCCTCACTATATGCCACTTGTGAGTGAGCAAAACCACAGATAAGGATTATCTGACGAACTACATGACAAGAAACATACTGTTCACATTTGGCCCTATAACTGCATCCTGTCCACTCGCAGACTTCTCTCATTTCACCAATGATTCAGGACGTCTGTCTGCTCACTGCCCTTAGCCCCTTTGTGCTGGGCAGACCCTAGCCCTAAACAAGCTGCTTGCAGCATAATATAGTGGAAATGCTGCAGGCTGTAGAATTACACAGACCTTGAGTTAAAACCCAGGTCTGCCCCTTACTGGCTGTGTGACACTAGGCAAGTTACTTAGCTTCTCTGAGCCTTGGTCTCCATCGCTATAAAATAACACGTATCTAATGGAGTCGTTGTAAAGACTAAGAAAAATAAAGTAACTATATTTAAAATACTGGGCATATGATAGATGCTCGGTTAGGTTGATTTCATTGTCTAATTAGGCTACCTAGAAGTCTTCAAAAGGGTAGAGGAGTGGTGGTAAGTGAAAAGGGAGACAGGGAAAAGTGATAGCATTTTGTATTGGGGAACTATTCTGCCGCAGGTATTTTCCAACTGTCCAGAGCAGATGCTAAATAATTTAAACGGGTCAGCTACATTGGGAAGTCACACTTGGATAGATACAATCTCTTACTTTAGAGGCAAACCAACAAGGATCTCAAGATAATGGTGAATGTTTTGTTTCTCATTAATTTATTGGTCCTTCATTTCTCTCCCTATACTATCGAAAGTCCACATAATACAATCTAATCACTGAGTTAGTGAACGAAGTACTATAACATTTTGTTGTTGCTGTTGCTGTTTGGAGAGGCTCTCCTCTTTGAGAATGTAGTAAGTCATTTTTAAAATATATATAAACTAGAATTTACTGAGTTCTTGTGATAGCAAGCACTGTGCTAAACTCTGCGTGCGTTGCCTTGTTTCTCCTATGAATTAAGTGCTATCGTCCCCATTATCCAGATAAGGAAATTGAGGTTCAGATAAGTAGAGCAGTGAGGTTACTTAGCACCCGGTAATAGAACAGGAATTCGAGCTCAACTGTGCCGGCTGCAGAGCCTGAGTTCTTCACCAAGGCACGGTACTGGTCCTCTGCACCTTGGTTTTAGTTACAAGTTTTTGAGACGGGCAACATAAGAAACGACCCTCCAGGAAAATCTGTGCTTAGAGTGACTCATTTGATAAAGGGCGATCTCATGGCACGTGTGCCCACATGATGTTGCCTCCTGGGCTTGGGTGCAAAGCCACAGAATTATAGGAATAACAATAGCAGAACAACAGATACACTATCTCCTTGGATACAACAACTGTTCTGATGACTGACTTAGAGGATAAGAGTGATTAAGGGTTTCATAGATGAATCCGTGAAAAAAAACGAAACCAGAGATGGGGTCCCCTTTTAGACTGTTCCGCGTTTGGCATCTTGGTCAAGGTTGTGCTCACTGCAAGGGTCTGTCCCTGCTTGGGGCTGTGTGTGCAGGCGTGGGCAAGATCTCCTCCTGCACCAGAAAGGTGCATTTGGTGATGAATCACGGTATTATCAATAACTCCCGATGTCATGAGAAGTATATTCCGTCTGCCGACCTCTGGCTGATCACAGGAACCAATGTGATCTCAAATCACTAATTAACCTGCTCCTCCTGAAACAGTTTATTCTGTTTGGCCTGCACTTCTGTGAGTTTCGTTGTGTTCATTATATTCTAGGCTTGTGCTTCATTTGTACCTTTTCTTTTGGAATTCCTTCCTGTGTGTAAATGGAAAGAAAACGTTGAAATATTATGTCACATTTGGTTAATATCTCATATTTTTCTTTTTCATTCTTCCTCTGTTTCCAGCTCCAGGGTTCCTTGAAAAGAAAACAGGTGGTGAACCTGTCTCCTGCCAACAGCAAGAGGCCCAATGGCTATGTCGACAACTCATTCCTTGATATCAAAAGAATCCGCGTTGGGGAGAACCTCTCTGCGGGGCAAGGGGGTCTCCAGATAAATAACGGACAGAATCAGATGGTGTCGGGGACCGTGCCCCTGGGCCAGGCCCCCCTGCGGAAGACTAACGCCCTGCCACCCCACACGCACTCTCCCGGGAATGGTATCTTTAACATGAGCTTAAAGGAAGTGAAGAAGGAGCCGGGAGAGACGCTATCTTGCAGTAAGCACATGGATGGCCAGATGCCCCAGGAGGGTATTTTTTCCAGTAGGTACGGGGATGACCCTGTAGAACAGCTGATGGATCCGGAGCTACAGGAACTGTTCAATGAGCTGACCAACATATCCGTGCCTCCCATGAGCGACCTGGAGCTGGAGAACATGATCAATGCCACCATAAAGCAGGACGACCCCTTTAACATTGACTTGGGTCAGCAGAGCCAGAGGAGCACACCCAGGCCCTCGCTGCCCATGGAGAAGACCGTGATCAAGACCGAATATTCCCCGGGCCTCACCCAGGGCCCGTCGGGCTCTCCTCAGTTGAGGCCCCCATCAGCCGGCCCTGCCTTCTCCATGGCCCCTTCGGCCCTCTCGGCTTCCTCCCCAGCCCCTTCTGTCCCGCAGAGCCAGGGTCAGCCCCCCACGGCCTCGGGAGCAAGCCGGGCCCTGCCCAGCTGGCAGGAAGTGTCCCATGCGCAGCAGCTCAAACAGATCGCGGCCAACCGGCAGCAGCATGCCCGGATGCAGCAGCACCAGCAGCAGCAGCAGCACCAGCAGCAGCAGCACCAGCAGCAGCACCAGCAGCAGCACCAGCCCCCTGCCTGGTCGGCCTTGCCCTCTTCCGCCGGGCCATCCCCGGCTCCCTTCGGGCAGGACAAAATCCCCAGCCCGTCTTTTGCGCAGCAGCCGTTCAGCCCGCAGGGCTCCCCTATGGCCGGGGTGGCGGGCGGCGGCGGCCAGTCCAAGGTGATGGCCAGCTACGTGTACAAGGCCGGCCCGTCCGCCCAGGGCGGGCACCTGGACGTGCTCATGCAGCCGAAGCCTCAGGATGTCAGCCGAAGTTTCATTACCAGCCCGCACGCAGCCCTGGAGCCCCGCCACGGCAACACTAAGCCTTTGTTCCATTTTAACTCCGATCAAGCGGGCCAGCAGATGCCTTCTGCTTTGCCTTCCCAGAGCAAGCCTTCTCTCCTCCACTACACCCAGCAGCAGCCGCCGCCAGCGCAGCCGCCGCCGCAGCCGCCGCCGCCGCCGCCACCGCCACCGCCACAGCCACAGCCACAGCCGCCGCCGCCGCCGAGCTCCATTTCAGCCCAGCAGCAGCCGCAGCCACCGACCCAGCCCGCCCAGCCCCTGTCAAGCCAGCCTCTGCTGAGGTCCCCCTTGCCACTCCAGCAAAAGATCCTGCTTCAGAAAATGCAGAACCAGCCCCTCACAGGCCTGGGGTATCAAGTCTCCCAACAACACAGACAGGTAAGACCATGAGTTTGCTCTTCCAAACACAGAGGAGCGGAGACCTTGTAGCCTTGTCCTTCTGCTCTGGTTGCTGCTGCCATTTGTGTTGGCACAGAAGCAAGACCACCAGATAGTTGTGGTCCTGTCAGATTCCCATTCACGGAAGGCCTCGTAAAGTCCGGCTCACTTGGGGGCATCTGGAGGCAAGAGCTAGTATTTCCTTGTAGAGCATTCCTCTCATTGGGATCTGCAGTGGTCAAAGCCTCTGCTTATTAAAAACATTGCATTAAAATTCATGCCTTTAGTGACATGTCCAGTTGTCAATAAGATACACCCAGTGTTTATTCCTCCAGTCAATAAGTCGGTCGTTAAGTCGACCTGTGCGTCCTGGTACCTACCATGTACAAGATGTTGTGATTATGCTGACAAATGACACAAGTCCACACATGATATTAAGAGTATTTAATGACCAGTCTACACCCACACCAACCAACTGAAATGTCCGAATGCCCAATGCCTCATAATAGATCCTGTCGTGACCACACTGGTGCATTAAATAAGACACAGTCACTGTCTGGAGAGAGAGAGAGGCTTTCAAACTCTCGTATTAATACTAAGTAGAAAGGCTGATGACATGAGAGCACAGAGGCTGGGGGTCTTACCCTGCAAGGGGAAGTCAGGGAAGTCTTCTGGAGAAAGTAACGCCTGCATTAAGTGATGAAGAAATTGTCATCACTATAAACAGAATATCTGTGGTTACCTTATATCCTGTGATTAACATAAAGCAGAAGTTTTATTCTGCACCAGACATGAATAGTATGAAGAGATAGCTCTTTGCCTCCAGAACACATGCTAGTGAGGAAGCTCTGATCCCCAGGGAACTTGAGAGCAGAAACTCTTCCTGGAGGGAGGAAGGTCTGAATGTTGCTTCGTGCGTGTAATTTGACAGGTCTGCGTTGGTGGCCAAGCACAAAGACAGCACGTTACACGTCAAAACAATATGTCAGGATATTAAGAAGGCACTCGGTCTAATTCCCATCACATTCCTAGAGAGGTTTACGTGGCTGCCGCACAGAGAAGAATGCCACAAGCGCCACAGACTATGGCCAAGCTAACCTTTGCCCTAGATGTATGCCAGGAGAAAACTAGGCTCCACCAGGATTTGAGAGCTCTGCACCAAGTAAAGCTTTGAGCTCTTACCTGCTTAAGAAGTATGAGGGTTAAAAAAAAAAAAAAAAGGAGGGGGTTTAATTGTAGTTGATGAAGAATGGACTTGAGTAGAGCCATATGTATATTTTACAGAGTACCTTTTCAACAGGTAACTTAGGAATCATTTATAAACAAACGGCATGGTGGAACTTATTCCTGATGGCATCGGTGGGCAATTGTGTTTGGATAAATCTAGGTTCAAATTCTTACTGTGACCTTCACTAGCTGTGTGACATCAGGCAAGTCACTGGACCTCACTAAGCCTGTATTTTCTCACCTGTAAATAGGGGTGATAATAATACATCCTAGGACTTTTTTTAGAATAAAATCAAGGGGCGCTTGGGTGGCTCAGTTGGTTAAGCGGCCAGCTATTGATTTCAGCACAGGTCATGATCTCAGGGTCCTGGGATGGAGCCCCATCTCAGGCTCTGTGCTCAGCAGGGAATTGGCTTGAGATTCTCTCCCTCTCTCCCTTTGCCCCTCCCCCGATGGGCACACTTGCTCTCTTGCTCTAAAATAAATAAATAAATCTAATTAAAAAATGAGATAATTTTGCACCCAGAGTTTAGAATAAAGTTGGCAATTACTGTGATTATCATAGAAAGAACCATATGTGATACCAGAATATTTTTAACAAGTATTACTCTTATGTAGGAGATACACTGGAATAAGTCTCGAATTCTAACATAAATATTTTTGAAGGAATAAAGGAAGACTATCCTTCATTCTTTTATTGGATGGCGAGTGGGTAGTGATTTACCATCCCTACGCCAAGACTTCTGATCATAAAAATGGAAATAACAAATATGACATATAAATGAGAGGTAGTGTTTATTATTTACCCTGTAACTGGCTTGACTTCAGTCTCTCTTCCTTATGGTATCTCATTTCACCCATACAAAGGAAATACCATTGTTCTCATCTTACAAGTGAAGCAGTTGAGGCACAGATAGGTTAACTAATTTTTCCAAAGTCACACAGATAAGAAATAGCAGAACAGGGCAGCCCGGTGGCTCAGCGGTTTAGCACCTGCCTTCGGTCCAGGATGTGATCCTGGAGACCCGGGATCGAGTCCCACGTCAGGCTCCCTGCATGGAGCCTGCTTCTCCCTCTGCCTGTGTCTCTGCCTCTCTCTCTCTCTCTCTCTCTCTCTCTCTCTCTGTCTCTCATGAATAAATAAATAAATAAAAATCTTTAAAAAAATAGCAGAACAGATGGTCTATTTTAAAGTTTGTACTTTTAGCCACTGGCTGTACAGCTCACAGGTAGGATTTATTGGGAAATGAATGACCACTTATAGACCATTGTGAAATTCTCAAAAAGAATATTTCTTGTAAGATTGAGCCATATTTACATAATCTACAGGGTAGATGAAGTCCTTTGGAGACAAATAAAATCTTAAATCTCTAACCTTCAGAGTTGTTAAAGAAAAGAATCGAAAAAGATCTGCGTGATGGTTGACGTTCCTAAGGGTAAACATCATGGAGCTAACCAAAATAAATGATTTACAACAGGAAATCTATCTCTTCAGTCACCCCATCAACAATTCTTTGGGAGCCTTCTTGCATCCTCGGTCCTGTTTCCAGCTCCATTGCTCATGTCAACAACTGGGGCTTGGCAAATACACTCATGATCTCTTTGTCCCCACTGAATCTTCCAGAACCCAAGCACACCAGTGGGTGCTGATGGCCAAATCAATAAACATCTTTCAGTGTCTTAGCCCATATTTAACTTATTCCAGTGTATGTGACACATGATGCCAAGATAATTTTCATCTTTTCAAGAAAGCCCTTAAAAAATTATAAAAGTGGCAGCAGCATTTTAAGCCAAAGGCCCCTTCTGTACAGGCTGGACATAGCCACTCATTTATAGCTTTATCCTAACTTTGTAGATTGAATCAGATTGTTCCTTCCTGCTCAACAGCTCTGAGGGGGAGGATTCTGAAATCTTGCATCTGAGTTGTAAGCAAGTGTATCCGAGCTGTATGGTCAAATAAGTGTTGCCCTCTTAAAAGCATTCACCTTTGGGGGGCCAGACTCATGCTAATAAGAGAGCTATTATTCAATACGGTTACAGAGTTTTTCTCTGGGGATTCTCTTCAGAGCTTTTAGTACATTGAGTGGATTATTACCAATGAGGTAATATTCATCCTGTCTGGGAGATCTTTGAAAACAGGCAAGATGCATAATGCTGTTTTAGGTAAAAAACAAGGAATAATTGATAGGATAGGACTGGATTTCAAATTTGGTTTGTGAACTTTCCCTGAAGGCAATAAAGAAAAGAAAATCAATGAGTTGCTTCCCAAGATGATAATTTTGAGAAGCAACTTTCATTTGGATATGCATATTTTCAAGGTTTTTCTAATTCCTATTCTCTCATCTAGTATATTGCCAAGTATTTTCAGCTCAGAGAAGGTAGTTTTAACCCAGCTATTTATAGTAGACAGTACAAATGTGCGTTCTCATTTCCAATTAGCAAAATCTCTGTTACTCATGACTAGAACCATAGGAGGGGAGAGATCGGCAGTAAGCAATTCTTAAGTTTGTCAACTAGAGTGTCCGAAATGAAAACACTGCTCGTGATTTTTTTTTTTTCTCACTTTGTGTCAAACATAGGAAGACTTACTGTGGCTAATAGGAGTCCTTCTACCTTGGAAATGGTGGAAGTCTTGGCTTTCTGCTATAAGATGGTAGATTGAATTTGTCAATAAGTTGCTTACAGTTTACACAGCAGAGTGTGCAAAGATGGCTTTCTCTTCACCCTTTGGAGCTCTGCACCCAAACGGATCTGCATGCTCAGGCCAAGAATATACTGGGGGAGGTCTGTGCCTCTCTCTCTTTATTGGATATCCATCTCTGTTCTCCTAGATGTGAATGGTGCCTGAGAGATGGATGCAGCATAATCAAATTGTTGGAGATCTCTTTATTGTTCCATGCCTGGGGTGGTTTCAAGTAATCTGTTCTCTGGATACTGAGAGGACAAATGGTATTTGGTATTTCACAAAATGTCTTCAGTGACTCTGTTTTGCTAGTGTTTGGGGCTTGGAAAATGGAAATACCTCCTGGCTATAATTTCCTTCCCTTCTGATTTGAAGGTTATGGGAAAGGGCAGAAGAAGGATATAATGCATGCAGTTCTGATTTATCTTCAGGTCACTGAACTTGTTTAAGGTGTGAAAGAGTTATTGGTTCACTAGGGCTTGTGAGAGTTCAATCCAGAAGCTCTAACTTCTTGAACCAAGAAGTGATCTTTGTCAGAGCCGTATAATCAGACACTTAAAAGTGTGAACTTTTTTTTTCTAACATTAGATCCATGAAACTCAAGTGTGTTCTATATTTGGTTTAGAATTATCCCATCTCTAAAAATGCTGAGAGGGAACGCAGCCAGTGAATGGATGGTTTGTTATGACCGAAACATAAATTTGTACATTTCCTCTTAGTTTAAAGCCAAGCTCCTCAATCATATATTAAGAACCTCACCCCACTCTCTCTGCCTAGGCAAGTTTATCCTTCACTACTCTACATGTCAACCCTTGGCGTAAATCAGGCAAGGCTAACGTTCTCCTCCCCATCTCCTTTAAGGTAATTTTAGATATATCTGATCTGAAAGATGAACACCCAGTTGAGGATGAAGGAGTCACTGGACCTCTCATATACTGACAAATCCTTATAATTGCCCAGTGAAAGTGCCAGAGAAGAGATAGAACCTTGAATCGTCTGGGAATGCCTTTTCTAGTGGGAAAATAATTATAAATTAAATGTTCTGCAACAATATAACATCCAAACCACCCCTTTGCCAGAGGCCACAGGT